GAATCCAGTGGGAAAAGGGGGTAAATTATTTTCTGTAAGGGATTTACACAATCAGTTTAAGGTTTCATCAATGCCCCACCTCCCTGAAGCGGGTTGCAGATTACATCTGTGGGTTTGGCCAGCACGAGCATTTATAACCACTGAGGCCCTAGGCAGAAGGTTTAAGAGATTAGACTGGAGCCAAAATAATCCTAGTCCAGAGCAGCTCTCAGGTTGCCTGGAGCAGGATGTGGTTGAAGCAAAAGGGATCCCCATTGAAAGGGCCTTACATACCACATAAAGGTCTTAACTATATAAACTTGCCTTTTTTTTTTTTTTTTGGTCTAAAAAATCCCAATATCAGAGGCTGTTGCCCCAACGCTGGAGAGGATTTCTGATGTTTTTCCATGAATTTATCTGACTTAGATATAAGCTTAAAGTAGGCAAAAGCCTTAATCAAACCAGGGTAAAGGGGGAAGCTAACATATTTGTCAGTATTCCTCTTCATGCACTATTGATTCTAGACAAACAGAATTTTCTTTTTTTTTTTTTATAAATTAATTTTTATTGGTGTTCAATTTACCAACATACAGAATAACACCCAGTGCTCATCCCGTCAAGTGTCCCCCTCCGTGCCCGTCACCCATTCACCCCCACCCCCCGCCCTCCTCCCCTTCCACCACCCCTAGTTCATTTCCCAGAGTTAGAAGTCTTTATGTTCTGTGTCCCTTTCTGATATCTCCCACACATTTCTTCTCCCTTCCCTTATATTCCCCTTCACTATTATTCATATTCCCCAAATAAGTGAGAACATACACTGTTTGTCCTTCTCCGATTGACTTACTTCACTCAGCATAATACCCTCCAGTTCCATCCACGTTGAAGCAAATGGTGGGTATTTGTTGTTTCTAATGGCTGAGTAATATTCCATTGTATACATAAACCACATCTTCTTTATCCATTCATCTTTCGATGGGCACCGAGGCTCCTTCCACAGTTTGGCTATTGTGGACATGGCTGCTAGAAACATCGGGGTGCAGGTGCCCCGGCGTTTCATTGCATCTGAATCTTCGGGGTAAATCCCTAACAGTGCAATTGCTGGGTCGTAGGGCAGGTCTATTTTTAATTCTTTGAGGAACCTCCACACAGTTTTCCAGAGTGGCTGCACCAGTTCACATTCCCACCAACAGTGTAAGAGGGTTCCCTTTTCTCCGCATCCTCTCCAACATTTGTTGTTTCCTGCCTTGTTAATTTTCCCCATTCTCACTGGTGTGAGGTGGTATCTCATTGTGGTTTTGATGACAAACAGAATTTTCACCTCCCCCAAATCACTCCAGATTCTTTGGAGATCTCTGCCTAGATTCAGTACCATTTCATTCTATTCATTCAAAAATATCCATTAAATGTCTGTGTGCCAGATGCTGTTCTAGGACCTGCTGGATCCTAAATTAAACAAGTTAGGTGAAGTTCTCCTTCAAATGTGTAGTCCTCCATGGACTGCTCTTTTTGCCTACACACTGAAATTCTGTCTTTAAAATTTTTAATATGCAAGGCACCTGGGTGGCTCAGTTGGTTAAGCAGCTGACTTTGGCTTAGGTCATGCTCCCGAGGGCCTGGGATTGAGCTCCATGCGGTTCCCTGCTCAGGGAGGGAACTGCTTCTCCCTCTCCCTTTGCTGCTTCCCCTGCTTGTGCTTGCACTCTTGCTCTCTCTCTCTCAAATAAAATCTTTAAAAAATAAAATTTGAATACAAATGCTCCCTCATTCATATATTCTTTCAACAAACACTCGTTGAATACTTCCTATGTGCAGAGTCCTGGCTCCGGCAGTAAGGCTACAACTGTGAAAAAGATACCATTCACTCAGCATGTGGTCTGTGAGGCATACAAACAAGAAGCTAAAGTGAGGGTGCCACAAAGAAGTACCCAAAAAAAGAGTTAATGGCTAAGTGCTTCTCAAAGTTTCTCACAGCACATACAGTAGATTGCTCTTGGCTGGAGGTGACTGGCTAGGATGTCTAGCTGTCCCGAGCTCTGCCTGGCGGCCCTAAGGACTGAGAGGATCACTACCTCAGCCCACTTGTGTCCCATTCACAGCATACTTGTTGGTCTGGTCTAGGCTAAGGCCTGAAGGAGAAGTAGATGCTAAACTGGTGAAGAGGTATTCAGACCCCTGTGTGTGTTCATTTAACAAGTCTTTATTGAGCACCTGGGGCTAGGAATACAACAGGAGCTTACTCTAGTGGGGAAGACAGACAAACGTATGAGGAATTACAATGTTATGACCTAAATGCTCTAATGGAGATAAAATCAAGGGTTATAGGACTTCACCCAGGTCTGGGAAGTCAGACACTGATGGGGTGGTAAAAGAGAAGTTAAGACCTTCAAGTAGGTGAAGTGGGAGTGAGAGGTTAGGAAAGGCATTCCGGGGAGAAGAGGGGATAATAAGATAATCATGGCACATCTCCTTTTGCTATCCCCATAAACCCTATGCTCGATACAGATTCCTCGCTATCTAAAAGCAGAGCATTCTCCGACACCTTTCATAAATCAAAATAGTGTGTAAAGCAAAGAAGCAATTACCATTAATTTATATGGAAATTTTTTTGAGCATTTGCAGCCCCCAAAAATAACCTCTCTTAGGATTTTCTGAAACCTTAGGACACATCTTGCTAATGGATGCACAAAATACATTAAGATAAAACACCTGTTCACAGACACAGTTCAAAGCTATGGTGGCTGCGGGTAGTTCCCAAGGAAGGAGCTTGATGAGGCCACTGTTGCTGCTTGGGGCGCACACTGCCTCTATAATGGCTGGCTGCAAAACAAATGCTGAACACTATTTTTGTTTTTTGCTTTTTTTTTTTTTTTTTTTGTAAAAACAAAAGTCCTCCAGATCCTTCTCTGCTTGGCTAACTCATGCTTTAGAAGCCAGCTCAAAGGTCACCTCCTTTGTGAAAGACTTCCCCGGGCAAAATTAGTCATTCCCTCCTCTCTGCCTCTATAGTGATGATTGGACGAACTAAAAATCTGGACACAGCTGATAGTGAATTCTTTTTTTTTTTTAATGATTTTATTTACTCATGAGAGACAGAGAGAGGCAGAGACACAGGCAGAGGGAGAAGCAGGCTCCATGCATGGAGCCCAACTTGGGACTCAATCCCCGGACTCCAGGATCAGGCCCTGGGCTGAAGGCGGCACCAAACCGCTGAGCCACCCAGGTGTCCCATGATAGTGAATTCTTTTTCTGATATGTAAGCTAGTTTTATAAGAAGCCACGGATAAAAAATAAAGTTCAAAAAAATTTTAAAAAGAAGCCATAGGGACGCCTGGGTGGCTCAGCGGTTGAGCATCCGCCTTGGGCTCAGGGCATGATCCCAGGGTTAGGAGATCAAGTCCCATATCGGGCTCCCTGCATGGAGCCTGCTTCTCCCTCTGCCTGTGTCTCTGCCTCTCTCTGTCTCTCATGAGTAAATAAATAAATAAATATTTTTATTTTATTATTTTTTAAAGATTTATTTATCTATTTATGATAGAGAGAGAGAGAGGCAGAGACACAGGAGGAGGGAGATGCAGGCTCTATGCCAGGAGCCCGACGTGGGACTCGATCCCGGGACCCCAGGATCACGCCCTAGGCCAAAGGCAGGCGCTAAACCGCTGAGCCACCCAGGGATCCCCAATAAATATTTTTTTAAAAAAGAAGCCATAGGTACAAATTTAAATCGTGTTTTATCCATTTAACCAGCTCTCTTCAATAAAAAGAAAAATAGAGGGGTGCCTGGGTGGCTCAGGTCATGATCCCACAGTCCTGGGATCAAGCCCCACATCCGCCTCCCTGAAGAAACAGTCTCCTTCTCCCTCTCCATCTGCCCTCCTGACCCCCCACCTCATCCCCCGACTGTCCCATTCTTTGGAAAAATAGAGAAAGCAGCTAAATATCACATATTATCTGTGTCATCAGTCTTGCTAGCCCTCTGTTAAAATTAATGGCAATGTTGAATATGTACTAACTTAAAGAATTCATATTGTCAAATAATTGTCCAATTTTAACCTTGGCCCCTACCTCTACGCTAGGCTCTAAACATTTATATGGATTATAATGGTGTGTTTTTTTTTAAACTTTTATTGGTTGCCCATTACTTTTCTGATTGTCTGATACACAGGCCAGAGAGCGGGTCATTGGAACAATATGTTTGCAACATTCTCTCAACAAAAGTCTCTGTATTTTCATTAGTAATTTTCAGAGTCTTTATCCAGGGTCCAGCGCCTTCATTCTGTAAGTTAAGTAAATGACTCCTCTCCCTTAGGTGCAGCGGGATATCACACACAGGGGGGCCTTGGCGCAGGCAGAGTCCTGAAATCATACCTGACATTGTATTACCCCGAGGCTTCTGGATGCCCACTCTCTCCTGGGCCTGCAGGCCTCTTCCTTCCCCCACTGCTGCAGCTCAGCCTCTCCTTACCTTCCACCCCCAATAAAATAGGGCCCCTTAGCTGGTTCATCCACCCAGCCCTTCCACGTGTGCTGCGTAAAATGCAAGCTCTGGGGATGCTTCTCAGCTGCCCAGGGAGTAAAGCGGGGACCCCCGGGCTCGCTGCTACGTGAGCAGGTGCAAGGGCCGGTCTCATTTCTGGGCGTTCTCCTCCCTGCACCCAAAGCCCAAGCAATGGCTGAGCGCTCGCAGTACGAACAGACTTTTGCTTCGGGGGGAGGGGACCTGGGGGCGATTCCCAGGAGATGACCAAGCATCAGCGGAGGCGGGAAATGGGAGGAGGAGGCCGCCGGCTGGCTCTGGCAGCACACCTCCCACCTGCGCCATCCTGTGATGCGTCGCGGCGGAACCAGACCACCCGGCCCCCCCCCGCCCGCGGAGAGCTCCCCATCCTCCCCGCCCTCCTCGCCCTCCCCGCGGCCGCCCAGGGGGCGTGGCCTCCCCGCGCGGCGGCCGCAGGGGGCGGGGCCTCGGCGGTCACGTGCCGCGCCGGTAGTCACGCGGGCGCCGGTCAGCTGACCGGGGGCTCACGTGGCCCGGCCGGCCGGAGCGGGGAGAGCGGCGGCCCATGGCGGCCTCGGGGCTCTGCCTTCCGCTGCTGCTGGCGGCAGCGCTCGCCGGCCGGGCGGCGGCCCTGTGGCCCTGGCCGCAGTACATCCAGACCTCCGAGGCGCACTACGCCATCTTCCCGCACGACTTCCAGTTCCGGTACCACAGCAGTTCGGCCGCGCAGCCAGGCTGCTCCGTCCTGGACGAGGCTTTCCAGCGCTACCGCGACCTGCTCTTCAGCTCCCGCGCTTGGTACCCTCCTGAGCCCACAAGTGAGTCGGACCTGCCCCGGCTCCGAGGGAGCCCGCCCGAGCCTCCCGCGACGCCCTTCCTTGGGCTTCGGCCCCCCACCCCCGTGGCCCAGCCCCCGGCCCCTGGTCTTCCCCTGTCTGCAGCTGCCGTCGCGGCCTCCCCGGCGTTTAGTCCCCAGCTCCGTGCTCCGCCGCTCGGAGCCGCCTGCTGGAGCCAGGATTTCCCCGGAATCCTGCCCCCGGGCGCTGTGCCGCCAAGAATCCCTGCTGCGGGACTGTAGTTCAACCAGGATGTCCAATTGCCGCGAATTCCGTGCCGGGAGACCTCGAAGGGGATCCCCCTGCCTGTGCGCAGGTGTCGCAGGGCCCCGGTGAGGCTGCGACCCGGGGGCGGCTAGAGGACACCAGGGCGGACAGCGAACACTGGCAAGACGAGACATTACAAGTGACGTGACCCACGCAGAGTTACACAAGCGTGTCTGACACGTGGCGTGTCCAGTAAATGCTTAAAACAGAGAGAGATCCGAGAAGGCTGCCGTAGGAGAATGGATTCTGGAGCAGCCGCTTCAAGTGGGGGTGGTGGGTGTAATTGGCCAGGACTGAACAAGGAGAGTATTCCAGGGAGAAGCAAGGCCACGCTTGAGCTCAGGGTGCCTTAGGGTGTATGTGATGAGGGTGGGGGAGTAGGGAAGAAAGAGGTCGGGGAGGGGCGCGGGGGTGCGGCGTTGAAGGAAGTCAGGAGTGCTTTGGGTGTTGGTTTCCTCTAAGACAGGGGCGGGCAGTTTGCTTTAAGGCCGTTGCTGAAAATTGTGTTTTGAGGGTTGTTTCACGGCAAATTGGTTAAGTAGAGTCAGCAACACAAAGGAATGACATTCTGCTTTCTGGGCTCAAAATTTAGGGTTTTCTTCACCCTGTTTTGGAATCTGGTTCTCCGGTTACGGTGTACGGGTACTTAGCGGGAGAAGCCACGCTCATGATTGGGCCATATGGTAACATCATCTTGTACTATGTTTTAGGCGTGATTAAATTACTCTCACAAATGTTCTCGTTTGATTTATAGACTTAACGGCATTTCATTAAACAGATGGTACTTAGGGAGTGATAGATAATTTAGGGAAAGAAAGGGAGTCTCAGCATCAGGGTCGTTCTGGCAAGGTGGATCAGGCTGGGGAGGATGAAAGGCCTGCTATTGCGTGTGGGGCAGATCACCGATTTCTCCGAATCTTTAATGACAAGTAATGCCTTAGACAAGATTGGCACTCAGAATGTATTTATTTTGGTATAGAACAGTTAGGGCTTGACTTGCAGGTGGAAAAAAAAAATCTGTCATCTAATTGGTATATACCTATTCCAGTACTGGGCACTCTGGAGATTACAAGAAAAGTTTGCTCAAAAGTAGACTCAGGGAGCATAGGTGGTGCAGTTAGCTAAGTCTGACTCTTGGTTTCAGCCTAGGTGGTGATCTCAGGGTGGTGAGATCACCCCTTGCTCAGCGCCAAGTCTGCTTGAGCTTCTCTCCCCCCCCCCACTCCTCGCATTTGTGCTTTCTCTCTCTCTCTTTCCCTCTCTAAAATAAATCTTTAAAAAAAAAAAGTAGGCTTAAAAAAAAAGTAGGCTTAAGCTTTGCAGCCCAATTAAAGAAATAGAAGCAAAAGGACACACTGTGTTATAAAATGCTCAAAAGATAATTAGAACGTTTGCTACTATTGTATAAATTAGGATAATTCCTATACTTCTAAATCAAGCTGTTACCTCCGTTGCTATAGGTCTACAGTTTAATGAAGGAAATAGAAACGGATGGATATGTGGCAATGGTGTCCTGTAAATTCCCTAATGAAAGATTTAGAGACATAAAAAAAACTAAATAAGATGTTTATTTCAATTTGTTACCTTACTGTGAATTAATTTGCTGTATTTGAGGGTTCTTCTTCATTAAGAGAACGAAAACTGGTTTGGATCAACATAACCAAAGACACAGAAATAACTTCCTTCTCTGTTGTTCTTCCATGGAGCCTTCCATTTGGAACATTCGTTTCCTGGAAGGCTTTCAGATGAACTGTAATCTTCTTTCTGCAAAAACGAGGATGAATCTCTGGAGGAAAAAGCAACGCCTGCACAACCCAAACCAGACTGTATTTCTCTGTGGGGCTGATTATAGTAAAGAAAACACGTGCAGTTTAAATCTTAGCTTTAAACAGCTTTGCATCTCCTCCATAGGTTCTGGGCCAGTGTACTTCTTAATATAACACAACTTCTGGTTTTGATCTGAACCTAGAATTCAGTGGAATCTATACTTCCTTGAAAAACAAATCTGTTATTGAGGTTTGATTTAATTCTGAATTCACCTTCAAGGATTAGCTGTGGTCTACCACCATTTGCTGAATGGTCAATGAAGGTGTTGACTATTTGCTACCTGTCTATGTCGTTGAGAGGTGTTTCTGCCAACCGGAGGGTGTGTGTTGCATGTTGTTAAGCCTGTTAAATGGAATTAGTTTAAGCTCTGGATACTTCAGTGAACCTAATTCTGTTTTGATTATTGAGCCACATCTTGTTTATGAATCAAAGATCTGATCTGATGTTGCCCCAGATACTTTTCTGGGTACCTGATGGAGTTGATAAAGCCTATATTTTTCAAGTAAAGTGGCTAAATCCGATTATGTCATTTGACTGAATTCTTCTTTGCTCTCCTGAAACTAGTTGATTGAAGCCATAGTGTTTAATGGCTTTTACAAAGTTTGCGTCCAGTTGTGATATTCACACACATTTCCCTATGAGTTACTTAGGATGCCATTGTCCCTAAATAGAATAACTCCTTTTATTTTAGAATGGAAGGAAGATTATTATGAGTATCTGGATCCTTCTGCAGCCCTTATCAATATTTGATTTGCTCATCCTCAGGTGTGAATCAAGTGACTGATAAGTGACATAGTTCATTACAATCTAAATCTCCTAAAATACCTCCTTTGGCCATTCCTTCTATTACAATGCCTGGAACATAAGAGATATTTAATTATTTGTTGGATATATTAACTTAAAAGGACTACTTCATATAAAAGTAAAAAGTCTTACGATTTTTGTCTAAGATTATCAAAAAAGGAGATGATTTGCAGGTTTCATTTAGAAATGATTGCCTTTTCAATTTCAAATTTGGGATGTTATGTGGATTCCAGAGAAAGGAGGATCACACTATGCAGTAGTCCCAGCTCAAATGCCTCTTATCTCATTACAAAATTGGAGATGCCTTGGGAATGCACCTAGGGAATGTAGGAGGGAAACGGATAAAAGTTGGGCACCTGGGCTGGGAAGAAGAAACAATGGTGATTCATGCTCCACTCTAATTGCATAGTGATTATGTATCTTTAACCTTTTCTGTGACAAGGACAAGTTATTCCAGAGAAAACTTGATTGCCACTAAATTTATTATTTGAAAGCAAACAGGAAGAAAACCATACAGGGAGAATGTTTTGTAGTAGGGTTACTTTTCTTGTGAAGGGGTATGTGGAGAACATACGTAAGGAGGTGAAATACAAGAATTTGGAAGGAGACAGGTAGCAGGAGCAAAGTTTGTAGTGAAGGCCAGAATAATTGTGCTCCATTTTGAATCCCAAGGCCTAGCTTAGCCTCCAATCCTCAACCAGGCTCTATTCCCACAGCCTTGTTTTTTCTTTCTGGTTAAATCATAACACTTTCCCAATAGCCCAGGATAGTACTGAGCCCAAGAAGGTCAGGTTGATGAGGGTGTATGTGGGTACCTTGGGCCTGGTTTATGAAAAATTCAAGTCTTACTTCCTTGAACTATCATTGCTACCTCTGCCCTGGATACTCTGCTTGAAAACCTGTACCGTGGAGGACTCAGGGTCTGGAACAAGATTTACTCTGGAGTCGGCCAGAGAATCACTTAACAATGTGCCTTCATGTAAATTGCCTAATTTCCAAGTAGCTGCTGCTGCTTTTTTAATCTGCCTCCATTTCAAGCATTTCTGAAGTTAACAGGGAGATAGTGATGACTATATCTTTACAATCTTTGAAGAAAGGTACAGTAGAAGGAAGAATTTGATGATTTTAAAATAAAACAATAAAATTAAGTCTGAGCCCCAGAGCTACTGTTCCTCCCATCTCCTTCCACCTCACTTCCTCATCTTCAAATAGAAGAGTGAAGCAAGGCATTGCAGGTTTTTTTGTTTGTTTGTTTGTTTTTGGCCAGTTGGTACTTTTGTTTTCAATAGCAATGGTGAACTATTTTTTTTCTTACAGTTACACAGTTTTTTGCTGGAGCACATTGTCAATTTCTTAGCAAGATAAAGGCATAAACTTCAATCCCTTTCCTGCCATTACACAGAAGGAAAGGAGTTTTACTGCCCAACCAACACTTTTAGAAATTAAAGAGGTTACTTTTATATTTCTGCATCTTCCTAAATTTCCCCTGCTGGCCCTGGTAATAATAAGAGAGACAATGTGCATCAACAGGAGAGTTAGCCAGTTGGATTAGGAGTTCTCTCCCTCCTTTGTGGAGCCACTGACTAGGAGGTCAGCTTAGGAGAGGAGGTTGGATCTGTAGAGGATAGAGTTTAATGTGTGACAGCTTTTCTGGGATCTGCTTCAAGGTTTATGGAGCTGTAATCCATCGTAATAGAGAAATGGATTTGCTTTTCTTCTCAATTCCTGGCTATAATGAGTAAGACCCAATACTGTATCAACTTCTCTCTTTTGTTTCCTTTGCTTTTGTTATTGCCAAAGTTTCCTTAGCCTTGCACTCGGCTGATCTCTAGCAAATATAATGTGCTATTGTTATGTCCACTTCTTCAAGGTGATTGGACTTGGGTATGGTGTAGAGTTCTTTCCTTTGGAAGTGTATGCTTGGATGCAGGAAGTTTGGGTGCTTATCACCTTGGGTATCAGTAAGCAGCCTCCTCTTCTTTTGTAAAGCTTTGAGAGCAAGGGAGATGGCTTACCAGGTACACTGTGTCCTAGGTGAAAAGTTTAACTATTGTCCTATTTGACCTTGCCCTGCTAGTAACTAG